GCTGCTGGAAAAGCAGCGCATACTGGAATAGCAGCATGCGCCTATAAAAAGCTAAGCAAAGACTGCGAGTGGGCACGATGAACCGAATTCTGGCGTCAGGTGGGTGCTAAGGCAGAATTTAACTAACTCTCATTCAGTCCGAGCATAAAATAGGTCCCTTTATTACAGAGCATTTACGTGCTCGTCTCTCTGCTGTTAAATGGAGCAGCATGACATTAAGCAGCACTTGATAACACCTTAGCATAATGTTAATCAATCGAATTACATGTTTATGTTAATGTTAAATGTTAGAGTTTATAACAATTAACAATACTTCAAAATACTCTAGGCTTGTTATTTTTAATAATATACAACATTCAGTCATAGCTTTGTGTTCAGGCAAAATACTGTAGATAATCCTAGAGCGAGGTTTTACTTAAGTACTTAACATTTACATGCTCTTCTCTCTAATGTTAAATAAGCAACTGTTGATTGGAGCTGTAAAGCTCAACATAATGTTAATGCTCGGACTCTGTTATTTACATTTTGTTTATGTAATCGAATTACATGTTTATGTTAATGTTATATATAAATGTTAATATTATATAACATTACTTTAACATAACTAATGTCTGTTATTCACAGAATGTGAGAATTACATTAATTTGGACTTTGGCATTAAAAGCGACAAATGTCTTGACTAGGAAAACACTTTAAGCTTTTCTGCAGCGAGTTTTCAGCATAACTACAGGGTATTTTATAGTCCTGCGTGGTCTTGAGCTGCTGAACTAGAACAGGTTCGACAGTGGTTAAAATTCTAAATAACTCTTGCTTAGTTTAATTTCGCTGAAGAATTCAACTTTGGTTAGTTCTCTGAATCTTTTAGCTAGCTTAAGGATTAAGGATCCAAGCCAAATCAGACTTACTTAAATAAAGAAAGTAAAACACACATAACGCTAATGGCTTTTATTTCATATGATATATATTTAATTTAGCCCCTTAATTTCTAAAACTTTTTTAAGTCCACAAAATAATTTCAAACAATTAAGTTAAATTTCAGTGGTATTTTGGCAATGTTTACATTTGGCTAACAAGAGCAAGAGCAACATGATCAAGTATTTGGGAAAGGGATGTGTGGGGGGAGGGGGGGGGGGGGGGGTGAGTTGCAGCCAAGAGCCCCAAGCAGACAATGCCGAGTAAATAAAATAAAACTAGCGGCAGAGGGCAGCAGCAATAAAAACAATAATGCCAACAAAAACAACAACAACAACAACAACAACAAACGCCACTTCAAACAGACAACAACACAACACACACTGGTCAAAGGGGAGTAAAAGAAACAACGGCAAAGCTATGGCATGTAAGAGAAGAAGTAGAAAAAAAAAACAAAAAGAAACCCAATAACATAAAAGCTAAAGAATTTTTGCGCAAAAGGATGGAAGGCGACTACCGCTAAGGGGGCTGAGCAAGCGAGTGCATGTGTGTGTGTGTGTGTGTGTGTGTAAGTAGAAAAACCCGCTTACAGCAGCAAAAACGGCGGCGGCAACGCCAAGCGACGACCTTGATAAGTTTCACACACACACACACACATACAGAAGCAGCGCAAAACTGCTTACGAAAAAGGAAGGGCTGGCAAGGAGGCGCACGAACAGCCTTTGGGGGCAATGAAAGAGGCCCGCGTGTACACATATTTGATATGCGTGTGTGTGTGCTTGTGTGTTTGCAAAAGAGGGGAAGCAAAAAGGGTAGGCACAAATATCACACCACAATCGATGCTACCATGGTGAGTTTTGTTAAGGCGCGCGCGCTCTCTCTCTCTCTCTCTCTCTTGGGCATCAACAAGTGGCTGCTGCTCCTGTTCCTAACTCAATTCGGTTTTGTGTGTCTTTGCGGCGCTCTTTAATCAACATCGCGTGGTGAGCTTTTTTTGCTGTTGTTGTTGTTGTTTAATGTTGTACAATTGTACATGTTGTACTTAATACACTGCTGTATGCACATGTGTATGAGTGCACATACATATTATCATGCTCTGCGTTTTATTATTGAATTTCTCAAGTCGTCAGCCTGCTGCTGCTGCTGCTGACGCATATAAGAACGCTAAACAAATGCGACCGACCGCTTGTCTGCCTTTCATGCCGCTCTCTCTCGCTCTCACTCTCCCTCGCTCTCTCTTTGGTTTACTCTCTTTGGCAAGCGCTGCCAATCAGCTGTAAATCAGCTTGAGATTCAAATTGAATTAATATTATTTAATAAATTCGCTTTACATATTGATGTTAGCTATATGTACACTCTATATACTGTGTCCGTGTGTCTGTGCATGTGTTTAGTAAATGGAAAATTTTTCGTTAGCCATTGGGAATGTAGTGTATGCAGCTAAATCAATGCGAAAAGCACAAACAACAACAACTTGAAAATGATCGTGCAACGTGCCTGAAATTATAAAATACAAATCAACGCGGAACCCGCGAACAGAAAACCGGCGCTGCACTTGCTGCGCCTGCCACACACAACCGGCTCAGATAAACAGGCGGACGGACGGACAGACGGGCGGACAGGCGGACGGGCGGACAGACGGACGTTGCAACGTCTAGTTTGAGTTTTGAACGACAGGCGAACACAAGAGACAACCCATAATTAATCAGACTGCCAGGCAACATTTTACAATTTACAATGTACAGCCAACCACATTGCAAATTCCAAGCAGATCCTTTACAACAACAACAACAACAATGAATACCGTGAAAGCTCTGTTAACGATATTCCTTTTTTATCTATCATTCAACTCTTCGATAGAAACTGTCCGCTCAATAACTAGTTTGTGGTTTATCTAGAAGGTATTTTACAATTTACAATGTACAGCCAACCACATTGCAAATTCCAAGCAGATCTTTTACAACAGTTACAACAACAACAATGAATACCGTGAAAGCTCTGCTAACGATATTCCTTTTTTATCTATCATTCAACTCTTCGATAGAAACTGTCCGCTCAGGAATGCATCAATAACTAGTTTGTGGTTTATCTAGAAGGTATTTTGTGAATAACATTTTTATTGACTTACTCTTACTCTTCATATTGCGTTTTTAACACTACGACGTTCACAATAGATACAATTTGATTATTTTTTCTTTTTTATTTTTTTCGTTCTTTCTTAGCCAAATCCATGTGTGAAAACAAGTTTTCAAACATTAATTCGCATATTTTTACAAATTATATTAAAGCTCATACATAAAGACAGAACAATAAGAACAACAACAACAACAACGGAGTTTATTTCGTGTACTGCGAAAAACTCGTTTTGCTTGTAAAACTATTTAACAATTGTGATGCCAAAAACAAATAATAGTAAATAAATATATGCGTTTATTTGCTAGAAAAGATTAACATAGCATTTGATGACAAAGGTGTGAAAGAGAAGATTTATATCGGAAATAAAAAACCCAATCAAAGTTGAGTCGAAAAGTAAAAGACTTTGCCTAACAAATAACGAATAAATCTTATTAATTTCCAATTGATTTTTGTCGCAAAGAAAAACTTAACTTTGCCAAGGAAATACATAAATATTACAAATTTAAGAACTTAATATTTACTTCCTTGAACTTAAGATATGCATACATAATCTTAGCTTATGCTTATTGTTGATCTTAGCTCAGCCTCATTGCTAAACTCTGAGTAATACAAATAGTATAGTAGTATAATAGTAATACTAAATAGTTGCATCAAGTTATTTACACGCACACATACATATGTATGTATGTATACACCTATCTTTGTGTGTGTAGGGTATTTGTGCTTTTCTCGCAACAGCTTCTGATTACTCTCACAACACTGTCAAAAAAAAAAAAAAAAAAAATTGTTAATTTGATTGGCCCTTAAACGTATCGTGCAGTGTAAGCTAATGATATGGAAAATTTGTGTACTTTTCTGTGCAAATGAATAAATTAAAATAATAATAATAGAAAAAAAAAACCCCGAGTAGTCAAAAACAACAACAGTGTTGAAAAGATTCCAGCACAAAGTTATAATTTAACTGTTACATTATCGCTGCATGTGTATGTGTGTGAGTGTGTACATACTCTAAATAATATTACCGTTTGGGTTTTATTCACTCATGTGAGGTAACTATTCAATTGCCCATGTAAGTGGTATACTGAGCGCACACATGCATGCATACAGTCTGTGTGTGTGTGTGTGTGATTAATCAGGAGTGCACACACTGGCCCTGAGAGCGAATTAAACGTCAGTTTACAACACGCACAGGCAACAGCCGGACCCAGCCGATGCTCAGCTTGAAAGAGAAGCCTACAAAAAGTAGCATATATAAAACTGTTCTACAGCAACAATGTATCTGTTCTGATCAGCAGCCCACTTGCTGCGCCTCTCTTCCTGTCACAAATGAGCGCCGCTCAAGAGAGCACAGCATGTGGGGAAGTGTCATTGATCCACCACGTTTAGGCAATGATTCGCGCTCTCTTCTGCTATCAGTTGCCGCTATCCGGCTGCTCTTTGCTGTATAATGTGCGAGCCCAGAGGGGGGTCGGGCTGCTCGTCACTTGATTTGATGAGCGCTACGCTGCGGCTATGCTGCAATCAAAGTACACAAACACACAAGCACAGACATGCACACAGCCCTAGAGGCACAGAGCTTGGGCTTTTTCCAATATGCAAAACAAAACTATTAAAGTGGATAGACGAGTTTTAACCAGCGCCAAGCGTGCTGCTGATAAAGCAGTTTGCGCTGGTCAAGCACACAACAGACACAAAATACAGTCAGTGTGTAGGTGAGGGGAGAGTTGCACATAGAAAGCACACACACACACACACACACAAAGCAGAGGGCTGTTAGTGGTAGCGGTTTAGGCTCAGCCTTAATATCCATAAAGGCTCGATAAAAATAACTCAGCATTGCCTGCAATCAATTTTAAAATAGACCCAGCAGCAGCAGAACAAGAAGAAGAAGCAGAACCAAAGGAGACAAAACTAGCCAAAGGCCGACAAGCAGCAAGGCAATTTCAACTTACCGCTGCGCTCCCGCGCCGCACAAGTTCAAGGCCAAGTGGCCACGGCGCCTCCTCTCTATCTTTTGCTGTGCTCAGCTGCGCTCTCTATCTCTCTCTTTTTGCGATTTGCGAGCACTGTCTGTGTGAGTGTGTATGTGTTGGCGTGCGTGTGTGTGTGTATGGTTTTTTTTTATGCGCAACCGTTTGCATGCAAAAGAACTTTCGTTTTCAAGTACACGAACCGCCAGCACCTTCTGCGTTTATTGTTATTGTTGTTGTTGTTGGCTGTTTTCTGTTTAGTGGAACGCGCGCGTTGGTCACAATGGGGGTAGTCGCGCTTGTTTATAGCACGCGTAACATTTTCTTTTTTGCTGCCAAATCAACAAACTCACAAAATTTGTATATGTTATTTGCAAGAGTGCACACTCGAGCCTGACGCTGGCGGCTTTGTAAATTAATTAACAACACTCAAGCTTACACACAGCACACACACACACACACACACACTCGCATACGCACACGCACACTTAGCCATATCAAGCGAGCGCGCGCGCCGAGATAAGCAAAGCAATTTATTTGCACTAAAATTTTGCTTTTTGCACGCCGCTGCCGTTAAGGGTGGGGGGATGGCGGTGGAATGTTGGGGGAGAGCCAAAATTCACCACACACACAATCTCACACACTGGAATTCGTCGCAGCAGCACACACTCTGGCAACCCGACGTAAACGCACGTTTCTGTTACAAATGATTTGCCAAATTTTGGAATTTCTGTTCACTTGTCCCGAGCACTGCGATAAGTTGCGACGCAATTGGTTTTTAGTTGCGTTAAATAATTTGTTTAGCTTGTTAGTTGAATTTCACAGAATTCAGAAACAACCAGAGACAACGCAAAACCAGACGACACCGCGATTACGAGGCGCAACAACAAATGGTGAGCGTGGAGAGCCACGATTGCCAGAGTTGCCAGGTCGGGAGCTTTTTCTTACGCCAAAAAAGCTTAACGTTGGTGTTGGAAAACGTTCAAATCGACGCTGAGCAATAACACATGAGACTTATTTATTTTACTGATAACTAAATTACACATTGTTTTCGTATTAATTAAAGCATGGGCAAATTGGCCTTTAACGCACCGAATTCTGCGCGATCCAGAGCCTTTAAATTGGTGCCAGAGAAGGGTGATTTGAACTCGACGTCGCGATGTTTGTTTACCAGAATCTTCTGATCGGAATATATCACATTGATTTGCTGATTGATTTGTTCCTGATCTGCAAATCGGAACTCATATATATGCATGCACGTATAACTGTATATGATTAATTACCTTTTTTGAGCAGCTCCACGGCTCGTTCACGCTTCATTTTGACCAACATGCTGCCTATTGTTATCCAAACTTTTGGTTCCTCAGACTTTTCTATGAGGCGCAGTGCTTCCCGGTTTTGCTGGCGCCGTTTGTCCATTACAGTTAGCTCCTGTTTGTTGACCAGAATCTTATCGGCCAGCTCCTCCGTTTTGGTTATGATCTCAATGCTTTTGCTCAAATCCGTTTGCGACATGTTTGGTTTATTTTAGTTTTAGTTGTGAAATACGCTGAAATGCCGACAAAACGTAAACAAAACAAATTAAGGTGACCAGAGTGAACTAAATATGGCAATAATTAAGCGCAATGTTGGTTACTCTAACAGCTGTTTGCAAAGTTTGCAATATGGTCACCCTGTCAATGAGGTAAGTTAGGAAAAGCGCGCGAAATTTGTACGAAAATAATATGTTTATAAAATATTACCCGGGAAAGCCCCTGTTTCTATTTATATTATTACATTTTGTTCTATTTTATACTTCTTTAATATCCAATTTGCATTTGATTTAAGCTTAAGTACAATAGACGATCTCAAATTTACATTCGTAATTGAATTTAAAAATTTAAAGCTCTTTTTTAGCTGCACTCAAGAAGCTATCAACATTTTAATGCTTGTAGTGAGTGAGATGATCGATCATCGCGTAGAGCCATTTGGGCTGATCGTGCGGCGCCATGTGACCGGCATTGCGAACCATTATCTCGACCAGATGCCCGGCATGCTTCACATAGCCGGCCACCTCGCCATCGATGCGCCAGATTTCACGGGGTGCGATCTTATATTTGGCTGCATCCCTGAACTTGAGTTTCTGCAGATAGTTGCGGGTCAAGGGATAGGCCACAATAATGTCCAATTGGCCGCTGTAGATGCACACAGTGTAGTCGTTCAGGAGCTCGGCTATCCAGGGCGCGACACTGTCCATGACATCCTGCTTCAGATGTATTTCCACCTTGTTCTCCTTGTCCAGATCGTGGAATGTCATGTTGCCCACGTGAATGGAGCGACGTGTGGCGCCTGCCTGCAGAAAGTCACCCAGCTTGGCCTCCGAGCCATCCGGATGCGTAAGCAGATAGTTGTAATACCAGCTGTAGCCGGTCAGGTTGCTGAAGATGGAGCCGTTGGTCATGTCGCCGTTAATGAGCGAATCGAAGACATCGAAGGCGCAGTTCATGTCCCGCTTCTCGATGCACTCGGCGCCCTTTTTCTCAGCGTCGTGAAACTGCAACAGGCCGTTGTCGTCGATCAGGCCCAGCTGGTAGAGATAGTCGCCGTACTTGAGCTGGTGCAGCGGATCGGACAGGCCGTTGCCAATGGCCACGCCCTTGAGCGGAATATGGACACGCGCCTCAACCGAATTCTGCACCTTGTGTATATGATAGGCCAGGGCGGGCACATATTTGCCGGCATACGATTCGCCCGTCACCCAAAAGCCCGCGTTGCTGCTCCACTCGAACAGCTCGTACAGCTGCATCACAGCCTCGTGCAGATTGCGGCCCACATCCTTCTCGTTGCGCGCATAGCCCTCATCGTGTTCGGTAAAGCTGAAGCCGGTGCCGACGGGATTGTCAATGTAGATCAAATTGTGCGTCTTGCTCCAGGTGTAATTGCGCTTCTGCAGCTTGCCCTGCTTGTCCAGCTGGAACGGACCGTTCTCTGTGAACAAGCCGAACAGCGACGAGGCGCCGGGTCCGCCCTGCAGCCACAGCACAACGGGCGCATAAGCCGCATCCGTCTCACTCGGGAAATACCAAAAGAACATGTTCGAATTGTAGCCCTGGTCCACGGTCAGATAGCCCGAATAGCTCTCCACGCCATGAAACTGGCTGCCATTAACACGCGCCAATTGACGCACCTGCTCCCTGGGCAGCTTGTCGTCGTGGATCAGCGGGGTGAGGAAGAGCGGCTGGCCCGGATCGACGCCGTCGTTAAAGTACGCATAGCGCGGATACGGATTCACAAAGCTGCGCCCATACGCCCGATCTGCGGCAAGCACAGCCGCAGCTGTTGCGATAATTAAAATCACGCAATGAATTGCGCTTTTCATTGTTTCGTGTGCTGGGACTACAATTGTGGAAAATTGATTGGTAATCAGTTGGCTGGGCATGTCAACGCCCACGTACTTACCCGTTGCGCGATAAGCTGGCTTTGCACTTTTGCTGCAGCTCGAGCTGATAATAAAAAAAACTTCTGAGCCGCCAAATATGTGCTTGAAGAAGCGCAAGTAACGTGAACTAGTTCCAGCCGCTATCGAGCTGGTTGGCGCAGCGCTGTTATCGATAGCAAAACATCGCTTAAATTCATCGTTTGCGAACAGCTGTTCGCTTTTAAAAATACAGTTTAAAATTGCAGCTGATATTTTTGAGTACAACTAAAATGAAATTGCACACGTAACAAACACACAAACACATTAACATTGTTGACAACAGCGCCAATTTACACGCACATAAATCACGCAGCAAATGTCCGTTAACTGAAGCGTCAACAACGCCGCCCTCATTTACCGCTGTTTTGTCTGAGTCATGGGCAGCGACGCTTTCGTGGGCGCAGCGCTGCCGCTGCTGCTGCCGCTGCTGCTGCTGCTGCTGCTGCTGCTGCTGCTGATTTTGTGGCCCGAAAAACATTCCAGTTCAGGCAGCTAAAAGTATTGGACGCACGCTCTCTCACACACACACGCACTTAACAATTGTAAGCGCACACAAAGTAAATTACCCGATTACGCATTTCTCATACTCACGCCCATTTCCGCCCACAATTAGAGAAAAATGTTCGATTTCAATTTGGAATTTGCGCGTGGCGGCGCCTCGTTCACCAGCGAGCTGTTCCAGCTGCTGGCCGCCGGCGGGCTCCAGCAGAACATTGTCTTCTCGCCGTTCTCCATACAGGCATGCCTGGCGCTGGCCTTTGCCGGCGCCCAGGGCGAGACGGCCGACGAGATAGCCAAGGGCTTGCATTTTGTGTCCAATTTCCCGCCGGAGGTGGCGCAAACCTTTCAGTTTGTGCTGCAGAAGTACAAGGACAGCGAGCTGCTGAGGGTGGCCAACAAGCTGTACGTGCAGCAGGGCAAGCAGCTGAAGGCCAGCTACGAGTCGACCATCAAGTCGGACTACAACTCCGAGGCGGAGTCCATTAACTTTGCGCTCGGCGCTGCGGCTGCCCAATCGATCAACGGCTGGGTGAATGCCAAGACGGAGGGCAAGATCACCGAACTGGTCACGGCCGATAGCTTCGATGAGAACACGCGCCTGGTGCTGCTCAATGCCCTGCACTTCAAGGGCAGCTGGGCGCACAAGTTCGATGAATCGCGCACAGCCGAGGATGATTTCTGGATAGCCGAGGAGCAGAGCGTCAAGGTCAGCTACATGAATCAGAAGGCCAAATTTGGCTATGGCTATTTCGAGGATCTGGGCTGCACCGCCATCGATATGCCCTACAAGGATTCCGATTTGTCCATGCTGGTGCTTCTGCCGCAGGAGCGCGAGGGCCTCAAGTCGCTGGCCGATAAGCTAAAGAGCGTCAATCTGGTGGACCTGGCCGCCAAGCTGGCCGTCGAGGAGGTGACCGTCAAGTTTCCCAAATTCAAGGTGGACTACTCCATCGAGCTGGCCGACAAGCTGCAGCAGGTGAGTAATCCGGTGTTTTATTGACACGTCCCTAGTTTCCATATCTCCATGCTCAAGCTCTTATCACTGCTTCACACTTTCGTTTCGGTGGCTTATCATGCAAATGCCTTAAAGATAATTTATAGGGTATTTATATTTAGCTGGCGCATTTTGCGGTTCCTATTTAAGATCAGGTATCGGGCGTTATGTAAGAGCTTCGCGCTGCACTCGCATATCTTATCTTAAGTGTGCGCTGAGCCGTGAGCTCATCAATAATGTATTTGATCATTGTTTATTTTTATAATATCGACTTGTTTATGCATTGTTTCTCCGCCAGCTGGGCATCACGAAAATGTTCAACGAGGGCGCCGAATTCGATAATCTGCTGGAATCGCCGGAGGGCATTTTTGTCTCAAAGGTTGTGCACAAGGCGACCATTGAGGTGAACGAGGAGGGCACCGAGGCGGCCGCTGCCACCGGCATCATCATGATGACGCGCATGATGCTGATGCCGCTGCAGTTCCAGGCGGATCGCCCGTTTTTGTATGTCATCTGGAACAAGCGGAATATTGTGTTTGCGGGCGCTTTTGTCAATGCCCCGACTGCCTAAAATCATGCAGTAGCCCTTTAATTTATTATTTTGATATTGATTTTCTTTTAAATAAAAAGCAACGGCACACAAAATTGCTCGTCTTTTCGAATTAATCAACTGTATTTAAGGTGCAGAGGTTGGGCACTTTTGATGTGCATTGGCAGCACTGGCAGCGCGCGCAGCTTATTGCCAATTTCTTATATTTATATATAAATATAAAATTATTAAATATCATGTACGCACATCTCATTAATTATTATTTTGCGACTGATTTTGTTTACGAGCAAAGGCACGTTAAATGTGAATATTTGAATTTTGTGTACGTCTACCAAATTGGCAGCACTGGCTTCGCGCGCAGCTATTATTTGAACTCTTTAATACTTACATTTAAATTACGTTAGCTAAATTGTGCGGCTGGGCTGTTTTTCATTACAATGGCAGTCTATTAATTGTTAACATACATACATATTTCAAGGACACGTTAAATGTGAATATTTGAATTTGTTTTACATCGATTTAATTGTCATTTACATGTGCATTGGCAGCACTGGCTGCCGCGCGCAGCCAACTTCAAATGAGTGTGACCCCACTTTGCGCGCAGCCAACTTCAAGCGAGCGCTCCGTTCATTGAACCAGTTCCACGCTGAACTACGCAGCTCGTATTGGTTTGTGCGAAAAGAAAACAAGCTAAGCACTTAAATACATATATAGATATATATGTATATATATAGACGATGCGGGCTGAACAATTAACAGTCATGTGGCAATAAGCAGCATACTTCGCATCAGCTCAACAATTTAAGCAATGTCACTGCGTGCACTAAGAAAACGCGATACTCAATTCTGCCAGAGCTCCGTCAGCAGCGCGAAAGCGACGCTCTTCAAGAAAGCCAACAACAACAACAACGGCGGCGGCGGCAGCAGCAGCAGCAGCAGCAGCCCATCGGCAACGTCACCGAAACGCTCTTTGAGCACACGAAAGCTGTTGCGGCAGCGCCAGCTGCTGGGACGCGGCACACATTCCAATCCGGATCTAACGGAATTCCAAAGGAGCTCAGGCAGACCTCACCTGTTGCGCCGCAAATCGGAGAGCGATGCCCGCGCAGTGAACCTGGCAGATCAAACATTTCGTCGTCTGACCGCGGCCAACGCCAAGTCCGAGGTGTGCCTGCAGCGCATCAGTTCGCATAGCTACGAGCAGCCGCCGAGCCGGCGACAACCGAACGCCATGCTGGGTGGTGCGCGCTCCCATCGGGATCTGAGCGCTGTGCAGCTGGAGGGCGCGGGACGTGCGCCACGCCGCATGAGCGAGTGCAGCATGGGCTACAGCCAGGGCAGCGGCAGCGGCGGCGGTGCCTATTCGCGACGCACTAGCTCCATGTTTGCCAGCCAGATGACGCTCTCGTCGGGCGGCGCCGCAGCGCCCGTTGATCCCAATGCGCCGCTGCGCGTGCCCATCATTGGCTACGAGGTGATGGAGGAGCGTGCCCGCTTCACCGTCTATAAGCTGCGCGTCGAGAATCCCGATACGAACGACTGCTGGCTTGTGATGCGCAGGTACACGGACTTTGTCCGGCTCAATGGGAAGCTGAAGCAGGCCTTTCCGCAGTTCAATTTGCTGCTGCCGCGCAAGAAGCTCTTTGGTGACAATTTCAATGCTGTCTTTCTGGACAATCGCGTCCAGGGTCTGCAGATGTTTGTCAACTCGATTCTGGCCAAGGATCAGCTGCGCAAGTGCAAGCTGGTGCGCGAGTTCTTTTGCCTGGACGAGCCGCCCTCCTACTCGGAGTCCATGGAGGAGTGTCGTGTGAGTAGCGCAGCGAGATATATGCCAAATGCTTAATATAACTAATGAGAATGCGTGCTTACAGGCAATCTTCGAGGCCCAGGAGGAGACCATAGCGCACTTGAAGCTGCAGATACAAACCAAAAACGATCTCATACTCAGCTTGCAGCAGAAGCTGCGCGAGGAAATGATCGACAAGGAGCAGCTCACACAGGAGCTAAAGTAAGCCAGAGCCAAGATATATATATATATATATATGAATATACCTTTATTTATATGCCCTTTCAATTCACAGAAATCTCAGCCTGGACTGCTCGCATTGCTCCTCGGCGAACGATAGCATGGCGCTAAAATAGTTAGGAACAGGCAGGAAGGTTCATCGTGTGCGTGTGTGTACAATATTATGCTGAGCATAACTCTATGCACTCGCACGGCATACATATATCTCCCAAGTGCATATCAGGCGATCCACAACAAGGCTCACTAAATATATATACATCAAAAGTGCTTTAGTATTCAGTTTGATATTAAGTCTAAAAGAACATACAAATATTTTTATATATATATATATATATATGCGGATTTTTACGCGCCGAACATTAAACTTAGCAATTAGCACAATAAAATTTACAATAATATTTAATTAAAATCTACCAGAACTACAGAATAAACTATATAACTATATTAACTGGGCCGATCATCCGATCAGAGGCTGGTCATCGCCGGCGGCCGTGCATAGGCCTTGGGTATGAAGCCGTATTTGCGCGTCTTGGGCGCATATGCCCACAGCCAGCCGTCGACGGTCTGATTGTTTAGATCCGCATAGATCCAGTCGCCGCGGCGCACGGACAGATCGTCGGGCGCCTGCGCCTTGTAGTCGTACAGCATGACCAGCTCCGTGCCATGGTAGCGCAAGTCATCCGTGCCTATGCCCAGTTGTTGTTGCTGTTGTTGCTGCTGCTGTTGTTGTTGTTGCGCCTGTTGTCCCTGCTGTTGGAGCATGCTTTCCATGGCATTCAGGCCGCCACCCGTTAGATTCGCATGATGTTGCATGTTGCTTTCGTTGAGAGGCGCCGCGCTTGGCGTTGCCTTCTGCTGCTGCAGCACGCGCACACTGTCGGCGGGATAGATGAAATTGGCCGGTACAAAGCCCTCCTGGCCATCGCTGCGCATTATCCAGAACCAATCGGGATCCTCGCGATTCAGCACGGTCACGAATTCGCCGCGCTCCACGGACAAATCGTTCTCATCGCGTGCAATAAATGTGTAGAGCACAATGCAACGTCCCGACGGCTCCTTGATGAAGGGCGTGCACTCGGGCATGGCCACATGCAGATTGCTCTCCAGATTGTTGACTGCCGAGGCTGTGCCCACAGCGATCGCTTCATCGCACAGCACGTCCAGTTTGTTGTCAACGCCAACGCTCAGCAGCGGCTGGTTCTCCTCGTGCGGCTGCTCGGGACACTGTTCGCGCGGCAGCTTCTTTTTGATGGCCAGCTCAGCTAGCTGTGTGTTATAGGGCGCGCAGTAGGAGAAGGGTATGAAGCCCTCCTGCCGTGAATCCTGTCCAATAACATAGACCCAATCGTTTTCCCGATACAATATATTAACCAGCTGGCCGCGCTTCACCTCCAGCTCATCATCCACGCAGGGCGTAAAGTCGTGCAGCACAACCATTTTGGAGTCGGGACTGCAAAGGCAATAATATATATTTATATATATATACATATTGTTATTTAAATCATCTACCTGAGTCCGTGCTCCTTCTCAATGCCCACACGCACCAGAGTCTCTATGCTGGAGGAGCCTGTAATGCGGCCCATGCCCACGGGCGCCAGATCCCGTTCGATGTTGGCATTTGTGGCTGTGGGCAAACAAGTTCGTTGTTTGAGTCTTTCATTTATAATTTTGTGTTTTTTCATTTTTCTTTAGCTGCGCATGCGTACCTTTCTTTTTATCGCGCCGCATGCGCACCGGACACAGAAAAGCCATTGCAATGGCTATAACTAATTTTCACTAGCTTAAGACTAATTTAAATTAATAGAGAACAGATTTTAGTCCTGCCAAGTGCTCGCCCATTGGAAAATGCATTGCAGGTGCATGCGATTGTTTTGTCTATCGAGCCGAGCGTGCGTCTATCGAACGAGCGCAATTAATCGTTATCGGCCGACCACCACAAAACAAATGTATTGTTCTGCTGTGCTTTAGTTTTTTTTTTTGTTTTTTTTTTTGTTTGTGTGTTAATTATGTTGTTTTTGTTTATTTGTGCCGCGTTTTGCTGCGCCTTCAAGCGTGTAAGTAAACATTGGAACTCTGCATAACACTTATGCATGTACATATTGGCCTTAAGGAGCGCGCACCTTGAGGCAGGTTCAATGCACTTGTCCGTTAGTTAGTTGAAAGAGTACGAAGACGTAATTGCCGTAATTTAAATTAATGTGTTGTACTAATGTGTTAGTGTGCTTATAGTACTTAGGCAATGTGTTTAGTACTGCGCGCTAGTTAAGATTTGTACTACAGGAGATCATAGTTAAATATTTAATGTATGGTCAAAATAAGTACAATATGTTTTGAGTTCGGCTGGTCACATTAATAATATCGGGCCGTCCAACAGTTTGCACAGGACACGCGCCTGATTTGGCAGCGTTTCAAGGTTGAATTAGAGTACGTCATGGCATTATCCTTGCAACAGCATCAACATCCTGTCAAAACGGGCAATGCACTATTTTGGTGCCAAGGATAAAGCTGTTTGTACGCCATTTTCGATTATTGTTGCACCACTCACCCCTCTGTCTGTGTGTGTGTGTGTGCATGCGTGTGCAAGTGCGTGCGTGTGTGTGTGTGGCGCAAGCGAAAGTACAGCCGACTAACAAACTGACCTACACAGCAGCCCATGCCTGAACCCAGTCCCCAGCTCTCAAGTTCGTTTTCATTGCCAAAAAAGAAGAGGAAAAAAAAATGAAAGAGGGAAACTGCGCATTACAATTGCCGCGAGCATTATCCTGGCATCAGGCTCAACCAAATTGAGCTCCTTGTCGCGCACCCGTCTCGCCGCTGACTTTTGCTTACTACGCAGTTGATTTTTGCATCCCATGTTCGAGTCACATCTAGCTACCGTCTCCCATGCCCTATCCCAAGCGCTTTAGCTAAGAGCACGCGCTCTTCGCCCAAAGAGCAGAGCGCAAATCGATGGAAAGGCGTCTGCGCATTGAGTCACACGTAAATACCATTCACTAAAACAGCACAATGAAGCCGAAGATGATGAAGCTGCTCGACGTGGCTGCTCCTTCCTCCTGCTGCTACTTCTGCTCCTCCTCCTGCTGCTGCCCCTCTTCCTCCTCCTGCTCCTGTCCCAGAAAACATGTACATGCAACGCCGTCTGGGCAGCAGACGAAGGCTTGGGGCCAGCCACTGGCTGCCTAAGTGTGTCAGTTATTTTTGGAGTCACGCGTTTCTATTTGCGGCAGCTGCCTCCAAGCCCAATAAGTGTCCTGCCACTCGTCCTGAATTCAATTCGAGTGACTGTCAGTCCGATTGTTTCAGTCCAGGAACTGTGAGATTTACTTAACGCCCCTTACAACATTTCACCATGTCCATGTTCTCCACCATGCTGGAGGGCGAAGGCGTAGGCGGTGGGCGGGGCGGGGCTGCGTTGCGCTTGTAATTCTCGTAAATCGATTTGTTGAGCTTTCAATTTCATGAATGGCATTTCAATTTGCCCAAAAACAACGCAAAAACCGAAAAGTTTTCAAATCGCAAAGTTAATGGACGTGGATGGCAAAATAATTGTGAATGTGGCAAGTTTTGGAAATACCTATATGACCTTTATAAGGATCTAGAGTATAGGCAATAACTAGTTTTTTGTTTCGTCCTGTTTAGAATGTCAATATATATTATTGATATAATTTGTATAATAACTTAGTTATTAAAGCATATTTCCGCAGAACAAGCATTCTTTATTATGACCATATTCTATATATAAAAAAATAACTCGAGTTGATTTGGTAAATTTAGAATATAGGGTACTTAATATAGGCCAAGTACATAGGTCTAAAGATATTCTAGAATAAAGAAAGAAAACCTAATATTGACCATATACATAGAAAATATCCTTAAACTAATAAATATAGTATATAGGAACCCTAAGATATGTCAAATATATATACTTAAATATCCTGCTAGACAATTAACAAATATAGAAACAAGGATCTCTAATTTAGACTATATACATCCTGCTACTAATAGACATAGTATATAGGATCCCTAATATATGCCAAATATATGTACTTAAATATCCTGCTAGACAATTAACAAGTATAGAATAAAGGATCTCTAATTTAGACCCAGTACATAGAACCGAAAATATCCTGGCATGGTAGATTAACATATAATACTTATATGATACAGGTATATTAAAGAGATTAGCTAAAAATTTTGTAAAAAAAAAAGATAAAATCTTAAAAAATTAAAATAATAATAATAATAAATCATAGAAAGTCTAGAATATAGATTGCCTTATGTAGACTATATATATATATAAATCTGAAAATATCCTGGCATGCAAAAAAAATATATATAAAAAAATATGTATTAAAGAGAAAAATTAAGTTATTATATGGGAAAAATAAATATAGAATAAATATATTAAAGAGTTTAGCTAAAAATTTGCCTAAAAAGAAGTTAAAATCTTAAAAAAAAGAATATCTTCAAGCTAAAACTTTATCAATATGTTTTGATATAAAGATATATGTATATGTATATATGGATATGAGTTATAAGAAGGGGTTATAGATCATTTCTGGCCACTTCCTAAATGATTATGCCGTCTTATCGACATGAATTTCATTTTGGTTTTCGCAATGCATCTGTGAATAAATCGCACGATTTGTGTTCAGATGCAATTTGCTTTGCTTTTGTTTTGATTTGTGCAACAAGCGAAATTTAACGAGCGTTTCTAAAAATGCACAGGCCATAAACAAAAAGAAACGAAAATGAAATAAATACGAAAATGCGGCAAATGCGAGAAAAATGCCAAAATAAATAATGTAAAAATGTTGCAGAAAAAAAAAGAACTTGGTTGAATGCCAAAAATGATCGACGCAAGCAGATTTTCAACATGGCTGCCATACATATATGTTACATATATATATATGCGAAAATTGTAATATATAATTGGCAAAGGGATATCTAGAGCTCTAGCTGGTTGCATAAGCGCCTTGTGGCAAATAGACGTGCCACATGCCGCGCACAGGCCGAAACAGACGAGCGTGGGCGGGGCAGGTGGTGGGTAAGCTGAGGGCGGGGAAAGCAATTCAAGGACACGTTCATGTTCAATTGCCAGGCATTTAGCAGGCATTAAATGCGACAGGCACAGAGAGAGAGAGAGAGAGAGAGATAGATAGAGAGAGAGAGATCAGATGTCACAGGGCAAACGCGGCGTATGCGTGATATTTATGCATGCCCACAAAATGCATGCTGCTGCAGCAGCTTCCTTCAAATGCAGCCACGTCCTTGCAACTGCCCGTGCTCCAGCTTCTGCTCCAGCTCCTGCTCTCGCACTCTCCTAGAGCGCACAGACGGCAAACGCCACTTGGGGCACGTGCGCCAACGTGCAGCTCGCCGGAATCGCAATCGGAGGCGGAGGCGGACTCGGATTCGGATTCGGATTCGGTAGCTGTCTCGCGGTCTCGGCCTCCATTCTCTGACGCTCGGTGCTCAGTTGATGTTGGTTTCTCGTGCTGTGTGGTTCGCATTTTGTCATACGAGTTCGTTTATTCCGTGTTTCAAACTGTGGAAAACTCAACAATTATAAATTAGGTAAAAATCGAGTCATGATTTTATTAGCTGCATTTACTACGCGTCCCCACCCTGCCCCTGCCCCTGCCCCTGCCCAGATGCGTAGGCGCCATTTAAGTTGTTAAAGTCAATTACATAAAACTTATACAGGTGCTTGCCAGGTGCGCCCTTCTTGGCGCCACTTCCGGTCAACATCCCATCTCAATATATATATATATAAATATCTTTATTTATTTACATTTGTCTCTAATTTATTTGCATATTTCGCTTTTGTTTTCACGCCGAACGCCATCAAAATGTTGCCCCCAAAACGATTTATTTCGGCCTGTCTGCGACGTCAAAGTCAAAGGCTGTATATCTGCTCGATATACATCCATATATATATATCCATATACATATATATGTATATATGTCTTTATTTGTTTTGATTATGAATATGTGTTTTGATGAAAGTCGCGCATTGTTCACACGCGAAATGTCCATTTCAGCTAATATAATGAAGCATCTATTTGCCAGCAGACAATTAGTGCTTGTATACCCTGTATATCCTGCTTAGTTAGGGTATATTGATACAGTGTGCCTACTTGATGAAGTAGATGAAGAAAAGCACCCTGTATGCAACAATTATAAGAATTGTGAAATAAGAATTGTGTATGAAATATGCATTATTTGCATTTAATTTATTTCATATTTCTCATATTATTCTTATTTCATTATGCTCTTACGCAGCTGAAGTATATTCCTTTTGTATACAGGGTGTTCTTCCTGTTTATCAGTCTAGGCTAATGCCTAAATTGTTCTTCAACTTGTTTATGTTTACTTTTCCAATAAAATTGTTATGTAAATTTATGCTTAGAATTTATGGTAAATATAACAGTTCGCCTTAGAATTCATTCTACGCACAATACAGGGTGCCTACAAGTCTATCATATGTCCTTGCCTGGCAAGTGTTGCCAAATTTTTTAAAGGCCTCTTGATACTCAAGGTTGCATTAGATGAGATCATTGGAAATGTCTTCCAGACGCTTCCATTTAGACACGTGAGAATAGGCATGACATATGCATGATTTGTAAGTCGCAATTTCTTCATTTAACGGTTTTTGTTTGTTTACCGTTTTTCGATTTCTCGCATGATGTAACTTTGTTTATCAATTGACCAAATGCACTTTTCGAAAGAAAAAAAAAATAATAAAAATCATATTCCAATATACCATATGCATATTTACATATGTATATAGTATTGTCTGGAAACAATTGGCTACTCAATTGAAAAATCACAGATGTGCAATTGGATTTTCTCGTAGTCTTGTCGAGGGCGTCAGTTGGTCAATTTTCAAGCTCATTTTCTATTTTCCATTTATATGCATAACTTAACGTGTGTGTGTGTGTTTGTTTGTTTGTTTGTTTGTTTGTGTGCATATCTATGTGCATGCATGTACTTTGCTCAGTGGCTGCAGAATTCTAGAACATTCCGGCTGTGTACATTATTAAATAAGAACTTGACAAACGCAATTGAATCGCGCTCTTTGTCGCCCTTTTGGCAGCTGTCCTGCATCGTTTTATCAGCTGGTTGCAAATGAAATGTGATTGAATATAATTGCTGCATTCAGCATTTGATTGTGCAATCCGTATTGCGTGCAGGTTGATTTTTAGTCATTATAATTACTTTTTACTTTTGTTACATTTTAACCGCTTATTCATAATTGAAATCAACAAATTTAAACTCTCTCTCTCTCGCTCTCCCTATCCCTATTCCCCTCTCCTTCTCTTATTCATACGTCTTACTCACTCCGGCTTGCTTGCTCTCTTTGCAGCTATGGATATGAACAAGCGAATTACCAACATGGATTCAATTATTAATAATAATGAACGCATAATAATGCAAAAGCATTAGAAAACCAAATAGGCATAAAGAGTGAATTAACATAGTAAGAATAAAGCGCCAAACCAAAAGCAAAAGTAAACGGCACAGTCAACTCTTCGTTAAAATAAATAACTCTTCGCAATTGTCAAATCAAAGTAAAGAGAGCGACGAAAAGAGAGCGCGCGAGCGCACTTTGCTTTTGTTTACACGCCCATTTGTGCGTTTGAGTAGCAATTGCAACTATAACTAAATTACGAAAGCAAATATTTACACAGACTTGGCAAACACATCAATTAAGTAATTGATAAAACAAATTTCAACAGCAACGTTAATACAACTATTTAAGCGGCATTGCATCGCGGCAAATTCCAACAACAGTTAAAGAGTTTGCGCAAATGTAAAGAGAGCGCAGGCAATTGCTATTGCACTGAGAGGGCGCAAATACACACATAAAGAGGGCAAACAGGCTGGTCGAAAATACACAACGCACACACACACACACACGAACATAGATTCGTCAACAAATTTCGTTGACTGCTCCAAAGTCTCGTGCTTGCTCTGTGTGGCGCTGTGCCGCTGCCTTCCAGATAGAAATTGAGTCTCTCGCGTGACACAACGTGCGTCCAAACGAGCGGAAAGTTTTCCTCAGTGTGCGTGACGACTGTTTGAAGTTTGCTCTGTTTTTCTTTCTTTGCTTTTTGTTGCTCATTCGCTTGAGCAGCATCAGCAGTAGCAGCAGCAGCAGCAGTAAGTGCCGCCCCCCCACCGAAGCGGCAGTCGGTCATTGAAAGCCAAATTTTGCATGTGTGAAAATTTGCAATGCAAAACTATTTCGTCTAACCGTCAAAGTCAGAGGCAAATCAACATAAAAGTTTAAGAAAAAAACGTGCGCAATAAACAAACAGTGACTTTTAAATTTAAAAAACAACAAATTATAAAAAAAAAAATAAAAAATAAACGCTAACAGCCAAGCGAGTGTACAATATCGATTTTTTTTGAGCAGCAACGCGCGTCGATGACCTCGACGACAACGACAGCTACAACGGTATAAAAGCAAAAGCTGCGCGACGCTAACGCTTTTGCCCAAATCCAATTGAGCCACGTTTTACATAATTGCCCAAGCGCATAAAGCGACGAACGCAACAAAAACAAAAACAAAACCAAAACCAAAAACCAAACTAGCAAAAGCACAAATTATAACGGCGTCCGCAAACCGAGTGCAAGTGGAAAAACTTTTTGCGGCTGGCAGAAGAAGGCGAAAAAGTAGCACAACACTTCCAGAGAGCGGCCCAAGCAGCTGCAGTCGAAAATCACAGAGACACATGCTTAGATATCGGCTCGTCTCCACACACTTCCTAAAGCAGCCGTAGTCAGCCCACAGGCAACGCCAGCGGGAGAGGGAGAGCTACAGCGAACGAGTGTGAGAGCGAGTGAGCCAGCGTGCAGCAACAACTGCAGCCACAGAAGAAACATAACAAGAGCGAGAGAGCGAACTGAGCGACAGACTGAGCGCGACGTCACTGGAAAGGCCGATCGCAGGATACGAATACGAGGCGACGGCATACAAAAAGTACGTCAGGTGCGCCGGCTGTGCTCATTCACGTGCCGAACGTTGCAGTGCGAGGAGCCCTGTGCCCGGATTAAGTGTTTAACGGCGTTAAACAAGAAATTAACGGTATCCACACAATATTGAATTCGAAGATTTTCGGTTAATTGATTAGCATCAACGCTTGAACCGCAACAGTTGCAGCAGCTTGCAGCAGAGGCGGCATTGAAATTTGCATCTAACGGGCCCTATAATTCAGTCACAACGTATTCGCTAGGAGTTCTACGCCTACTCGGTTTGAGCTGTTTTAATTTAGATAGCGAAAATGTGCAGAGATCGCGATATGAGTTTGTCATAGATCAGCGCAATCGTCAGTACAAGGTTAAGAAAAAAATTAAACTGATGCTAAACTGAATGTCAACGGCCTGTCAAAGTGCGAGAGAGAGAGAGAGAGACAGCGAGAGAGCGCGCCTTGGACCAATCAACAACAACAACAACAACAACTGCAACAACCAGGTCGTCTACTCACGATCCAAGCTAAAATACCAAAGTTAACAATTTAAGCCTAAACATCAGCCATTTAGCTAATTCAATCAATCGATCAATAATCAATCAATCAATCGATCAATAATAACACCAAGCACAAGGATCACCAATTTGCATGTGTGTGCGTGTGTGTGCTCGCCGGAGTGAAAAGCGTGAAATGTGACTATTTTTTCCACCCCCTCCCCCCCGCCTCGCCAACAACTATTGACAATTGCCTCGCACGCAGAACAGAGGCCAAGTGGAAGTTTATCGATTCTCGGAGTGCGTTTCCAAATAACACACACACATATATATAAATATATATTTATATCATATTCGTATTATAACTGTTATTACTATTATTACAATTACTTTTATTGTTCGTGCTTTGTGTTAAGTTTTGGAAAAACGTCGTGCAGCTGGCGAACGTACGTGGAAAAATCAGCAAAATTGAAGACTTTGCGAGAAATCTTTGGAAGTCCGTTAAGGCTTGCGTTGTAAGTAGATTTATTTATAAATCTTTAACTGTAGTTAATTAAGATTTGGTAATTTTCCATGCACTCATGGAATTTTCCCGAAACACTTTTGAATGTTGACGCACTTTAGAAAGGGCAGCTATTGTGATAAGGGCAGGGTTTTTATACTCTTGCAGAGGGTATTATATATTTGTCGTGAAATGTGTAACGCATATAAGGAGACATCTCCGACCTCATAAAGTATATATATTCTTGATCAGCATCAACAGCCGAGTCGATAGAGCCATGTCCGTCTGTCTGTTTCTATGCGAACTAGTCTCTCAGTTTTAAAGCTATCTTCATGAAACTTTGCAAAAGTCCATATTTCTGTTGCACGCAGCCAATATGTGAAAACCAGCTGGATCGGACCACTATATCATATAGCTGCCATAGGAACGATCGGTCGAAAATTAGGTTTTTGTATGAAAAAACATTTTGTTTTTCAAGATATCTTGACCAAACTCGGCATTTATTAGTTTTACTTTACTCCTCATATATATGCAAAATCCTATTAAGATCGGACCACTATATCATATAGCTGCCACACGAACGATTGGTCGAAAATTAAGTTGTTGTTTGAAAAAACATTTTGTTTATCAAGATATCATGCCCAAACTCGGCATTAACTATTTTCCCTGTGCTTCTTAGATACGGGCAAAGCATTATGAAAAGGTTGGGTCTGCAAGGGTATTAGATCTTCGGCGTGCCGAAGAAGCCTTTCTTTCTCGTTGATCTTTAATCTGTTAGTCAGTCGGCAGAAACAGCTTCTCGTTTATCAATCAAGGCTTTAACCGGATTTACAGCATTTACATATGCACCTGAAACACCTTTTTTTTTTTGCCATCAAACAGACTTTTTAGCAAGGCGCTTTATTTAGCAATAGATTTATAGAGTGTTCGCTTGCAATTTCGTATACCTTGCTTGGGTCTTAAATTTAACAGAGATTCGAACTTCAGCAAGAACAAGAACAGCAAACAATCGCAATTGCAATGAAATATATTAAAATAAAATTCTTTTATTTATTTACATTTTTGATTATTATAAATAATAAATAAATTTAATGAGAATGTAACATGAGAATGTACAGAACAACACTTTCAGAAAGTCATTTTCATACAAAATAATGTAAAATATACAAAACTTTATTTTGATAACAATTTTAAAGAGGACCTCACGTAATTCTGCATAAAGTTTAAATGTCCTTTATTAAATCACTTAAGAGGTCTAGAGCTGATGTTCCACTCCCTCTCTCTCTCTCTCTCTCTCTCTCTTCCCCCCCTCTCTCTCTCCACCTTTCTCTCTCTTTCACTCGTTATCTCCCGCCTGCCGGCTGTTAACTTAATTTACTAACTTGACGTCCGTCTGTCACAATTATTGATAATCCATTTCACACATTTGTTCTGATTGTTGCTAATCGTGTTGGATTTCATTTATGATATTGTTATAAAGAAATTCACACCTTTTGCATTCGTAAGCGTAAGCGTAAGCGTTGCCAGGCACAAAAATCCAACTTCATAGGAACCGATTATATATTGTGCGTTGTGCGGGACCAAGCGTAGTTGTTGTTGATAAACAACACTTGGACTTTGCTGGCATTATATGTACATACATATATAGGATTTTGACCAAGCATGATTGATATCCAATTTGTTCACAGTCTGGCAGAGCCAAACACAAATACAAACACAAACACAACATACTATTATTAAGCAGATAATGGTGGCAAGCACCTTTCTTTCTAATGTACTCGTACGCGCTTTTCCAACTGATTTTCCATAATATTTCCATCGAATCGATTCATTTCTGTTATTTCTTTTTTATTAATGTATATTTTCTCTTTGTTTACCCTTGAGTCATCATTGAAAAGCCTGTGGACTAGTACAAACTAGTACAGTGTAAACTCTGCAAGTGGACAGCTCGCTTGCAGTCGAATATTTACTTAAGCGTATATTATTATTTGACATATTATTTACAATTTAGTAAAACAACTTTATTTTAAACAGTAAAAATATCCATTACAACTTGTAGCTGTTCACCCAGCACAGTCTTCACTGTATTCTCTCGCTGTCTCGCTCATGCTCGGCTATCTCTTTTCCGGTTCTGTGCATGGAAAATAATTTTGACGATTGCTTTTTGGTTATAAATTTTCCATTTGGGTAATGCGACTGTCCCAATATTTGTTTGTTGTTTCAACCTGTTCTCACTTTTATTGCTGCTGTTGTTGTTGTTGTCGTGGGGTTACAAACTGTTGCGTGCTTTTAGGCACGCCTTGGCCCCCGTCCACCTCCCCCACTCTGTGCATATAATTTATTTACTAGCAACCAGTCTTCGTGTCACAGTCCCTGACGTGCAATCCACATTATTTGTGCCTGTTAACCCAAAAAATTACAAGCTCTGTTGCACATTCTATATTAGACAAGTCAATAAGACATTTGCTTATAATCAAAATATGTACAAAGCGAAGGTAGTTCGTGCCCAGAACTGTACTGCCTTAACATAAAGTCTTAGAGGGAGAGAGAGGGAGAGAGAGAGGGAGAAAGAGAGAGAGCGAGAGAGAGAGAGCGCGCGAGAGAGAGAGAGAGAGCGTGAGGAATAGAATGTAAAAGATCCATGCATGATCCCTGCAACCCTTACTTGCATTTATGAGAATTGCATAGAAAGGCTGTTAAAATATTATTTGTAAGTACAGATACAGATACAAATACAGACATATATGTGTGTATATATTAACGGGCAATACACTTATGTCTCTAATTCGATGGTGTCAACTTGTAATTTGGCCCAGAAATACATTTCGCATTCACACGGCTGTTGAGCTCAATTAACAAACCGATCCAACAAGAAAATGTGTGAATTTTTCTATAATTAGATAACACACAGACTTCGCATGTGTAAAAATATATTACGTTGTTTATTTCGCAAGCGATTTAAAATGAACAAAAAAGTCGAATTTATTTTTAGCGATATGCTGTGAAGAAATCTGAATTTGTTTAATATATGAAGAATACGGGCACTTAGAAGAAACAAAAAAACGTTTATTAGCAATACCCTAGAGCAAATCTTAACTGTGGAATGATTGCATAACTTATGAAAGTACTTCATTGAGAATTTTTCATATATTTTATTATAACTTGGATGGTATGTAATCCGAACTTTAAGAGCTTTATAAGTCTATGAGAATTTATGATTTAATTATTAATTGAATTTAATTCTTTGGCTAAAAGTAACTTCTCTTAAGTTGGACTTCTTGATCGAATACCCATTCACGTGACTTTAATTGACTTTAGCCTAATTTGGTTTCTCTTCAAGTTGCACACAGGGTATCTTGCAGTCGTACCCTATGCTTTAAAACATGCTCAATTGTTTTCATAAACAGCATTTAGCATCTTTTACAAAATGAGTTATTGCTTCGAGAGCATCGCATACCCTCTCTCTCTCTCCCTCTCGCTCTCTCTCTCTCTCTCTCTCTCTCTCTCTCTCTCTCTCTCTCTCTCTGATCTCGACAATATACAACCTCGATTATTTTAATATCTCGTGTTGGCAGCGTGATTATGCGAAAAATAAAAGACTAAGCGGCATTCATTAACAATTGTTTCTGACTTGGTCACGAGACCAGGCGTCTGGTTTTCGGCATAGGGCATATTAATGGATCCGACTCCAACTAGGCAAGTGGTATCCAGTAGCGGGGGGCACAGTCAGTACCAGTCCGGCAGTTGGCACGTGGTGACAGTTGGTAACCGCAACCAAATTTATGCATTTGCCAAATGAAGGAATGCAACAAAAAAAAAAAAAAAAAAATCTATTTTAAATGCCTTAAATTGAGAAACCTGTTCGCCTTCAATGGGGCACATAAATCAAGGCAAATATACTATGTGGCGTTCTTTGAGAATCTGTTCGTTTCGTCGAATTTGCTTTGAATTCTTTAACAACGCTTGGCAAAGTTCACGAAACTGGAAAGGAAAGAAATTTAATGCGAAACCGCCTGCTCCGCTTTCAATTGAACTTGATTGATTTTAACGAAATGCGAGCAAAAATACGACATATTCCATATTAATTGAGAGACAGCACAAATCATCAATGAAATGCAACCGCTGATTGCGTCACGTGCGGACAATTATTTAAAAAATAAATAACGAAAATTATAACAATAAAAAAGGCAATTTCATAGAGTAGGCGTAATCACAATCGTCAACGTACTTTGCCCCATTTCAATTCCCAGCTGCCACATTTCAATTCTCAATTCCCCATTAGCCGATTCCCTGCTCTGCTCCTGGTTGGTTCTCCTTCATTTCCATTCGCTTTTCATGCATATTAAATATTCTGTTGTTTTTCCTGCACATTCGTTTGTGCTCTGATTTATGTGCTCAATGCGGGCTTTGTACTCCTTGTGTTCGCTAAGCCTTTGTCTACTTACAAAGAATGCCTCTGTATCTTCCATTCTTTGATGATATTTTCTCATCTCACCTGTGGAAAGAATGATATTTAGTAAATTATTCATATTAATTCATTATATTTCGTGCGCTTCAGATACTTTTTATACCCTGAACCCATTAAAAATGGGTATAAGGGTATATGCAAATGTATGTAACAGGCAGAAGGAAGCATCTCCGACCCCATAAAGTATATATATTCCTGATCATCATCAACAGCCGAGTCGATCTAGCCATGTCCGTCTGTCTGTCCGTCAGTCTGAGAGAGATTTAAAATAGATGTAGGTGCTCCTAGTGCCTGCGCAGATCGAGTTTGTTTCCGATAATCGATAACATGCCCCGTTTCCAAGTAATCGATAAGAATCGATTTCTACATCCTGTTTTTTGAGCAATTTTGGCAAATAATAAGAGCTAGAGTCACCAAACTTGACATATAGCTTCTAAAATAGAAGAGGGTTCAGGGTATCCCCTAGTTGGGAGCTCCCGACTAGAACCTCTTATTTGTTTTTATTAATCGCATCCTCAAGGCGAGTTTATAGATCTGTCCTGATG